ATACGAAGGCTGTACAATGTGCTGTTAAATTTCTGCATAGGGACTTATGCATACACAGCTGATATAAGTAAGGCATTCCTTTGGGTAGGCCTCCAAGAAGAGGACTGAAGTTACACCAAGTTCCTATGGATAAAGTATCCAAACAGTGAAATAATTACATATAGGGTGCTTCAGTTTTGTTTGGAGCTACTTCTTCACTGTTTCTGCTTCAAGGAACCTTTGACACGCATTTGAAGAAGTCCAGTAGTCCCAACAAAACTGAAATTAGCAATAACCTGTATGTAGACAACTTCCAAAGACCAACAAGTAGTGAAAAGGAACTGCTGCTTAACATATATAATGAGGCCAATCGAGAGTTGTTGGGAGCAAATATGCCTCTCCAGTCATGGGCCTCCAATAATGTAAAATTAAATCAACTGAGTCAGAATTTCCAAACAACCAAGTACCTCAGAAGACGAAAGTATTAGGAATCGAATAGTAAACAACATCTGACCAATTAACAATTAAATTGGTGAAACCAGAGACCACCAACCTAACAATGAGGAAACCATTATTCCAAGTCAGCAAACCCTTCGACCCCTTGGGACTATTAAGTCCGATATTGATAAATAGGAAATTGCTAATGCTGGCAAGAGACGATAGGATGGGATGATCCACTAACACCTGACTTGTAAGAGGGGAAAGTTACGGCCCTGGCGGGACGCAACGGGGTTCTTACTCTGCGTTAGAGGAAGATATATATCCGACCCCAAGCCAGTAGAGGCTTTCAAGATCCATGACGCAAGGGATGGTGAAGGATCTAAGTATCCTAGAGTCTATTAAGTTCCTTTGAAACACAGTACAACATAATCAACCAATTACGCTACATGTGTTCTGTGATGCCTCGGGAAAGGCTTATGGCAAAGTAACAAAGTAACAAAGTAACTTAGTAACAAATGAGCAAGTAAATTTGCTTACATCAAATGCCAATGTGGCACCGGTGCAGAAACGGTCATTACCACAACTGGAATTAACAGACCTACTGGTAGGAGTAAGATTGGCTCATTATCTGACAGAAACCTTAAGTAACATTCGCTTTGAAGAAACAGTGGTATGGTCAGATTATGAGGCAGTAATACAGTGGGTGAAAAATAACAGCAATTGCCAAAAGGAAATAAGAGAGTTGTCAGTTGGGTTCAAACACAGATATGTACCCACAAAAGAGAATCCTGCAGACTATCTCTCCAGAGGCCTGACTTTGCAACAATTATCTAAAACTGAGATGTGGTTCCATGGACCTCAGTGGCTAGTCAGTGACCAGTAACCTAAACAAAAACCACAAGTCATTGTGACCAATATCACTGCTCCCACTGAGATACCAGAATCACCCCTGGGCTTTGGTAATTGACCCTACTCGGTACTCTAATTTAGATAAATTAATCAGTCACTCATAGGGTATTTGATTTCTTGAGTAAAATAGGAATCAAACATAAATACCCTCCTGCTCTGATATTTTGGGTAAAGCAAGCCCAAATCCAGACTTACGGGGAAGACTTTGTGAACCTCCCTTATAAGACCAGTAATGATCTGGGTCTCTGAATTGACTTTAACTATTGCAGCACTTTGCAATGTGGTGGGCGAATAAAACATGCAAATATTGATTTAGAAGTAAAACATCCATGGTTACTCCCTCGCAACCACTGGATAAGCAGGCTAATTGTTTTATATATACACAGACACTGCACCCTACATATTGGGGTACTAGTTGCCCTCACCACATTGCAACAACAGTACTGGCTTCCTCAAGGTCCTCAGACTGTAAAGTCCATTCTTATATCCTATGTAGTCTGCCGGAAGTACGATGCTCAGGTGTGTCATTATCCAGGACCTCTACTACTCCCTAAGGAATGAGTTGTTCACCTTCGTCTTTTTGAGACCACTGGTGTAGGCTACACGGGAGCCGTAACTCTAACAGGCACTAGGGACAAAATCCCTGTAAAGACATATATATTTGCCTGTTCATCTGTGCCACTACAAGAGGAGTACATTTAGAAGTGACTCCAGATATGAGTGTGGAGGCATTCATACAGGCTTTTCACAGGTTTGTTGCCCGTCGATCATGCCCCAAGTTGATGGTCTCAGACAATGGATCCAACTTGGTTGCAGGGAAAGCATGTTTGAGGGGAGGTCTGGAATCACCCAGCTTTACGCACTGCCCTGAATCAATGGCAGTGTCCCTGGAAGTTTATATCACCCAGAGCACCGTTGCATGGAAAGATCTACGAGAGGATGTTAGGAACAGTCAAACATTGTCTTAGGAAACCCCTACACCGCCCAAAAATTGATCTCCAAACCGTTGTCATGGAAAATGAGTCTCTGGTCAATAACCGACCACTGACCTACCTCTCTGACGATAACAAAGAACGTGAGCCATTAAGTCCATCTCATCTGATTTATGGAGGACTTCTTGCTCCTTTTTCATCCCTCACTGACAAGGGACCAGAAGATCCTTCGTATGTCAGCGAGAGCGACTTGGTTCAGAGTTACAAAAATTTGTCCAGAGTAATTAGTCGGTGGAATGAAGTATGGACCCAAGAGTACCTAACTGCTCTGAGGGAGTATCACTACAGGGCAAACAATCCCTGCAATAGAATTCAATTACAACTTGGCGATATTGTTCTGATGGACAGTGACAGTGTCCCCCCGGAATTATGTGTGAAATTAACACATCAAATATACAAAGTCTATGTAACTGCCATAAGATTAAATACTGCCCAAAACGCTTTGCGTAATAGTGGCTTTAGGCATTGTATGTACTAGCTTCATCTATAAATCTTTCAATTTTTGTAAAATCTCTTGTATGTACCTTACTTGAATAAACATTTATTTATTTATTTATTTATTTATTTATTTATTAATTTATTGATTTACATTAGTTAGTCATAAAGGGATTACAGACAATGGGAAAGGCCACTACCATCAGCTTTTGTCACAAAATTCATCTCACTAATATTATACTATAAAATCCTCGAGTCTAAGTGCTGGTAAGACAATAAAAGGAATCTACTAAATCAAGTATATAATAAATAGTAAGATTTGACCTTAAACCATTCTTACTCCCGAATCTCGAATGTGAACAACGTCGGGAGAGGGAGGAGGAGGAGGGAGGAGGCAGCCATTGAAAACAGAGGCAGCCATGATTGTGAGTGGTTGAGAGCACACTGCTGGGGAGTTGACACATCATTAAATTGTTGAGCCGATATTGAGCCTACTACATGACCAGTAACTCTACTCGCAAATCCCAAAGGGCAACGTGACTCACATTAGTCACTAATTGTTGCAAGAACTAAGGAAAGTGCCATTATATGTTTGGCAGAGAGAGCTCGTTCATTATATGCTTGGCAGCAAGGGCTCATTCATTATAATTTTAGCAGCGAGAGCTCGTTCAGTATAATTTTGGCAGCGGAGGTTCGTTGATTATATTTTTGGCAGCAGGGGCTTGTTCAATATATGTTTGGAAGTGGGGCCCCCTCATTCATTATATGTTTGGAAGGGAGGGCTCGTTCGTTATAAGTTTGGCAGCATGGGCTCGTTCTTCATATGTTTGATAGTGGGGGCTAGTTCATTATATGTTTGGTAGTGGGGGCTCGTTCATTATGTGTTTGGTAGCAGGGGGCTCATTCATTATATGTTTGGTTGCGGGGGCTCGTTCATTATATGTTTAGTAATGGGGGCTTGTTCATTATATGTTTGGTAGGGGGGATTCATTTGTTATATGACTGGCAGCGGTGGCCTGCTTATTATATGTTTGGTAGTGAGGGCTTTTTCATTATATGTTTGGACTCGATGGCTCGTTCATTATATGTTTGGTAGCGGGGGCTCATTTCTTATATATTTTGGCAGTGGGGTTCGTTCGCTTTTCTTGTTAAAACTGTCCACATTTGGTATACCTAACTGACCAACGTAGTTGCTATTCATCTAAATATACAATTCATACTTATGTATTAATACGTAATTACTTATTTTATAATTATATAAATGACTTGCAAACTTTATTTAAAATAACTCCAGAAGTTATTGAACTTTTCTCAAACTCATATGCTAATTCACTCCCAGACACAACCTAATTTAAATACGACTAACTCAGGTCGTAGCATTTATATACAGGACTTACAATATTATTTTATACGCAATTGCTATTAAAGTTAATATGTCGAAACAAATACTCCTATATAATTCCATCACGATAACGAAAACCAGTGTTATACCAAATATCGGACCTAATAACTGTAATCGCATATCATGCAACTATAAAATGTTTGTTATAATCAGGTATCTTGCTAGCAAATGAGGCATGACTGAACCTCAATACATCACATACGTGTATTCCTGATATACATTTTCTTGATCACAATGACCCATAACATGTCACGTGTTTGTTTTCTTCTAATGTTGTTCCAGTGAAATATTGTTTCACGACGTGTTGAATGTTTTGTTTATATTGTTTCTTGCATATTTTTCACCACACTTGCGTTATATGTTTCACCACACTCGCGTTCGCATCTTTTTCACCACACTTGCGTTCGCAAACATCTGCTCTGCCTCACACATGTTTCACCACACTCGCGTTCGTAGACATCTGCTCTGCCTCACACGTTTCACCACACTCGCGTTCGTAGACATCTGTTCTGCCTCACACATATTTCACCACACTCGCGTTCGCAAACATCTGCTCTGTCTCCGGCCAATCAAAGCTCTCCATGTAACAAATATTTGCTCTCTTCCTTCTTTCATGGCCTCACTGTCAAATACCGTGAATAATTGACAATGAAAAGATTACATTTCTTCCAGTTACATTTTCTTGGTAGAAAATGTCACGTTTGTCGCAAATAAATGTATAAGCAATCTCTTTTAGTTATAGGTCACACCATGAGGCAGGCAATGTGGAAGAGAAGATATTGGAATAGACCAATACATTATTTGATACATTGTATAATGTTTCTCGTTTTGGGACTCCGTAGGTGGTCAACGATGGAGATGGGTGTCGGGATTGCCACAATTGTCAACCTGGAACCATATACCCGCTATGCCGTCTACGTAAAGACCTATTCCCTGGTTGCTAGTGCCAAGGTCGCCCAATCTGATATCCTCTACGCCACTACCAGCCCATACAGTATGTCTGGCTTTTCTGTACGGCTAACTGCATCATTCTAACGTCCTGTACTTTCACTTTCCTTATTTTTTCACCATAGTGTTGAGACCGTTTATGAAAATCTATTAATTCTATTAAGTCTCAGTTAAGGTCCACAAGTGATGATGTTCATTAGGTCCAACTTCCCTCTTTTTGATGTATTCGTAAAGTCAAACGCAGTTCTTCCTGCTCCTTGGTTCAGCATCTTCCTCTCTTTCTCTGCATTACTCTTATTTGTTATTGTGTTATATAAATATTCGTAAGAAACTCTACTGTCTCTGGTTTATGTAGTTTCTCTTTCCTTCCGTCAGTTAAAATAAAGACTTCATTCCTTGTCATTCACTTCTTATCTCTTCTGCAGTAAACATTCTTGAATATGATTTATGTCCTTGAAGTTTGAAAAATATAAAACCCTTAAATTTCAATATTTATAACAGGAGCTGCCTTTATTACCCACCTCTTGAAGCTTTAATTAACTTTAGTAGTGATAATTGCTGACGTTTCCCTACATTGGTAATATTAAATATCCAAGAACACACATTGGGTACATGAACCGCTGACATTGCTTATCAACCTTATACCATCAGGTAGGTTATTCTTTGTATATTTTACCATTGTGTTATAATATGTACTGCTATGTTTGTAATTTGCTCTGCTTATATTGAAAGTTTTTTGACTGTGGCCTTGGCTCCTCCAAGCCTAATGTACTAGTAGGCATCCTTCAGTCTCGGGAGACTATTATGGAGTTGCGCTCTGGTTGTTGAGGCTGGAATGTTCTCTCTAGGTAGTAAAATCTGTAAGGTCGACATGGAGGAGAATCTGTTACCCATGCAGCAAGTCCTCCCCCTCCTCAACACGTTGCTGAAATGTTTGAATAGATAGGCAAACGTCAATACGCTTGGTTCCAGAGCCGTTACAAGAGCTGTCAGAACGAGGTTGAAATCAACAACGAACTGCCTTAGGGACCCAGCTCTGGATTTTTCATCGAGGTTGACTCCTGAAGCCCGTTCCAAGAGTGGGTATGGCCGCGAGGCAGCGGAATTTTGAGATCAGGGTTTTTCTTCCCCCTGGATGAGCTGCCTTCCCAGGCTGTCAAGATCCATCTACCCAGAGCAGCTGGTTGGAATTAAGGCACCATAGGCACGAGCTCACCCACTAGGACAAGGACCTGAAGGGCCGCCCAAGGAACTACCCCTGCAGCAGGCTGGTAGCCTCGTTGAGGGCCCTGCTCAACCTCTCAGAGGATGACTGGGAGTCCCCCCCCCTTTCCTTCCTGTTCTCCCTCCCCTTTCACCCCATACCCTGCTTGTCCCTCCTCCTTCACTGGATCCCCCGTCCCTCATCCCAGTATCCTCTGAGACTCTGTTATCCACCTCACAGGTCCTCACACCCATGGAACAGCTTCCCCCAAAAGAAGAACACTCACCAAGGAGGCGATTTGAGAAGGGACAGAAGAACGTGAGCCTCAAAGCAATGTACACTAACATAGATGGAACTACAAATAAAGAAATGAGCTTGGAGAACTGGTACTAGAGTTAAACCCAGACATAATAGCCCTCACAGAAACAAAGCTAACGAAAACGATAACAAATGCAGTGTTCCCACAGGAATATTATGTTATGAGGAAAGAGAGGGAAGGAAGAGGTGGTGGTGGTGTAGCTCTGCTGGTAAGAAAAGGCTGGGATTTTGAGGAGATGGATATTCAGGGCTGTGAAGGTTTATGTGACTACATAGCAGGTACCATAACAACTGGAGGGAAAAAAATTATAGTCGTAGTCATATATAATCCACCACCAAATGACAGAAGACCCAGACAGGAATATGATAGAAACAACATGGCCACCATTAACATAATAGAAAGAGCAGCTTCTGTTGCTAGCAGGAATGGATCTGGACTACTAATTAAGAGAGACTTCAACCATGGGAAGATAGATTGGGAGAACAGAGACCCGCATGGAGGACCAGAAACATGGAGAGCTAAGCTGCTGGACGTGGCAACAAGAAACTTTCTGAGCCAGCACATCAAGGAACCAACAAGAATGAGAGGAGAAGATGAACCAGCAATGCTTGATTTGATATTTACCCAAAATGAGTGGGATATAAGGGAAGTTAAAATGGAAGCGCCCTTGGGAATGAGTGATCACAGTATATTGAACTTGGAGTACCTGGTAGAGCTAGGAATTATCTTCCCCAAAAAAGAACTAGGAATCAAAAGGCTGGCATACCGAAAGAGGAATTATAAACAGATGAGAAGTTTCCTAAGGGAAATACCTTGGGACACAGACCTCAGAGGTAAGTCTGTACAAGGTATGATGGACTATGTTACCCAAAAGTGTCAGGAGGCAGGAAACAGGTTCATCCCGGCCCAAAGGGAAAAATCCGAGAAGCAACAGAAGAATCCATGGTATAATAGGGCATGTATGGAAGCGAAGAAACTGAACAAAAGGGCGTGGAGGAACTTCCGGAATAACAGAACACCAGAAAGCAGAGAGAGACACCAGAGAACCAGGAATGAGTACGTCAGGGTGAGAAGAGAAGCAGAGAAAAGTTTTGAAAATGATATAGCAAACAATGCCAAGATCGAACCAAAGCTACTCCACAGTCACATTAGAAGGAAAACAACAGTGAAAGAACAGGTATTGAAACTTAGAACAGGCGAGGACAGGTATACAGAGAATGACAAAGAGGTGTGTGAAGAACTCAACAAGAGGTTCCAGGAGGTCTTCACAATAGAACAAGGTGAGGTCTTTATGCTAGGAGAGAGGGAGGTAAACCAGGCGGCCTTGGAAGAGTTCGAAATTACGAGAGAGGAGGTCAAGAGACACCTGCTGGTTCTGGATGTTAGAAAAGCTGTTGGTCCAGACGGGATCTCACCATGGGTACTGAAAGAGTGTGCAGAGGCACTTTGCTTGCCACTCTCCATAGTGTATAGTAAGTCACTGGAGACGGGAGACCTACCAGAAATATGGAAGACGGCGAATGTGGTCCCAATATACAAAAAGGGCGACAGGCAAGAGGCACTGAACTACAGGCCAGTGCCCTTGACTTGTATACCATGCAAGGTGATGGAGAAGATCGTGAGAAAAAACCTGGTAACACATCTGGAGAGAAGGGACTTCGTGACAAATCGCCAACATGGGTTCAGGGAGGGTAAATCTTGCCTTACAGGCTTAATAGAATTCTACGACCAGGTGCCAAAGATTAAGCAAGAAAGAGAGGGCTGGGCGGATTGCATTTTCTTGGATTGTTGGAAAGCCTTTGACACAGTACCGCATAAGAGGCTGGTACATAAGCCGGAGAGACAGGCAGGTGTAGCTGGTAAAGTGCTCCAGTGGATAAGGGAGTACCTAAGCAATAGAAAGCAGAGAGTTACGACGAGGGGTGAGACCTCCGATTGGCGTGAAGTCACAGTTGGAGTCCCACAGGGCTCTGTACTCGGTCCTATCTTGTTTCTGATATATGTAAATGATCTCCCGGAGGGTATAGATTCATTTCTCTCAATGTTTGCGGACGATGCCAAAATTATGAGAAGGATTAAGACAGAAGAAGACTGTTTGAGGATTTAAGAAGACGTAGACAAGCTGAAGGAATGGTCGAACAAATGGTTGTTAGAGTTTACCCCAATCAAATGTAATGTAATGAAGATAGGTGTAGGGAGCAGGAGGCCAGAAACAAGGTATCATCTGGGAGAGGAAATTCTTCAGGAGTCAGAGAAAGAAAAAGACTTGGGGGGTTGATATCACGCCAAATCTGTCTCCTGCAGCCCATATCAATAGGATAACATCAGCGGCATATGCCAGGCTGGCCAACATACGAACGGCATTCAGAAACTAGTGTAAAGAATCATTCAGAACTTTGTATACCACATATATCAGGCCAATCCTGGAGTATGCAGCCCCAGCATGGAGTCCATATCTAGTTAAGGATAAGACTAAACTGGAAAAGGTTCAAAGATTTGCCACCAGACTAGTACCCGTGCTGAGAGGTATGAGCAACGATGAGAGACTACGGGAATTAAACCTCACTTCGCTGGAAGACAGAAGAGTTAAGGGGACATAATCACCACATTCAAGATTCTGAAGGGAATTGATAGGGTAGATAAAGACAGGCTATTTAACGCATGGGGAACACGCACAAGGGGACACAGGTGGAAACTGAGTGCCCAAATGAGCCACAGTGATATTGGAGCCACATCAGGAGAAAAACAACAGTGAAGGAACAGGTAATGAAACTGAGAATATGGGGTAGACAAATTCACTTCAAACGACAAGGAAATGTGCGAGGAACTCAATAAGATATTTTAGGAGGTCTTTGCAGTAGAGCAAGGGGAAATCCCAGAGATAAAAGAGGGAATATCTAGCTAAATACCACTAGATGAGTTTGTGATTACCAGTGGGGAGGTGAGGAAGCATCTGCTAGTGTTGGAAGTGACAAAGGATATTGACTTGGATGGAATCTCACCTTGGATACTGAAGGAAGGAGCAGAAGCTTTGTGCCAGCCACTTTCTATGGTGTATAACAAATCACTGGTAACAGGTGAACTGCTCAAAATTTGGAAGACGGCTAATGTAGCCCCAATATTCTAGAAGGGTATTGGACAGGAGGCACTAAACTACAGGCCAGTGTCACGAACTTGCATGCTATGCATGGTGATGGAAAAGATTGTGCAATAAAACTAACAAAAAAATTGGAACATCTGGAGTGGAAGAACTTCGTATTACAACATCAGCATGGGTTCAGGGATGGCGAATCTTGCCCCACAAGATTAGCTGAGTTCTATAACCAGACAACAAAAATCAGGCAAGAAAGAGAGGGCTGGGTAGACTACATATTATTGGATTGTCAGAAAGTCTTTGTCACAGTGCCACATAAAAGACTATTGCAAAAACTGGAGACGCAGGCAGTAGTGAAAGGGAAGGTACTCCATTGGATAAGGGAGTACCTAAGCAACAGAAGACAGCGAGTCACTGTGAGGGGTGAGG